GCCCACCCCCCGCGGAGGGGCCCAACCGAGGGAGCGGAAAGGCCGGGCCCTCCCCCACAGCGGTGGGACTTGTAACCGCGGGTCTTAGATGACCAGGCCCGAGGGCTCTCCAAACTGGAAGTTCCAGCAGCTGAGTTCAGGGGTCCCCGGAGCAGCCGGTAGGGCCGCCGCGGTTGGTCTTCATCTTTTCCCTTCACTTCTCTAAAAGACCCGCCACCATCCCGCGAGTGCAAAGACGAAACCAAGCACACTTTTTATTGTTATTTATTGGCGAAATCTCGGTGGAAATGTGAAGAATGAAAGGAGAGAGTTCGCCGACTTCGCGCCGCCACCGTCCCCGCCTCTAAAGCTCTGTTGGTTGCCCGGGCGCCTGTGCGGCAGTTCACCTGTGTGCGCCCGTTCGCCTGTGTGCGGGGTTCACCTGTGTGCGCCCGTTCGCCTGTGTGCGGGGTTCACCTGTGTGCGCCCGTTCGCCTGTGTGCGGGGTTCACCTGTGTGCGCCCGTTCGCCTGTGTGCGGGGTTCACCTGTGTGCGCCCGTTCGCCTGTGTGCGGGGTTCACCTGTGTGCGCCCGTTCGCCTGTGCGCTCCGGTTCACCGGTACGTGCCAGTTCACCTGTGTGCGCCAGTTCGCCTGTGCGCCCTGGACGCGGGCATCCTGCCCTGAGCAGGATGCAGCTTAATGCCCCTGAGCAAGGGGCAGCTTAATGTCCTGGCGCGCGGGTGGGGGGCTGGGGAGGCAGCTGGTGCCGAAGAAACATCTAAGACCACGGAAGTCACCCAGAAAATCCTTAGTATCCTTCGGGCTAACGGGCTTTCTAAATCCTGACACCCGCAGCCTCGCCCCGGGAAGCGAGAAGTGTCCCGTGAGTGCTTTGGGAGCCAGAGCGCACGCCGGTGCCCGCGGCCTGGAGAGGAGTGTGCTGAGGGTCTCAAACCCACCGGCCTCCTCCTGCAGCCCCGCAGAGGGCAGCCCAGGGATGGGCCCCCTGGGACCTAGTAACTAACTGAATTCCCTTAAAGAGGATCCCTTCTCTTTCTAGACTGAGTTCCTGTCAACTTCCCCGCCAGCCCGGGGAAACTAAGCCTCCCTTGATCCGTGCCATCCTCTCGGTCTCCCTGCCTCTCTCCCTCTCTCTCCTACCTCCCTTCCTCCCTTCCTCCTACAGATAAAATGACGCATCAATGCCTTGTACTCATAAAGATTCTCACAATTCCAAAACTGAGTCTCACCAAAAAAGCCCAGGTAAAGAGAGATGGATTGTTGTCCCCATTTTACAAATGAGGAGGCATCGGGGTGATTCGTGCCACCGCCAGTAAAAGGCTGTCGCTAAATGCCTGGCTGTAGTTTCCATAAAAGCCAGTCCACCACAGAATCTCCTTGGGTGAGGGAAATTACCTGAAAGTAACATTGCAGCTCTCCCAGAGGCTGACACTAAAACCTTCCTTAAGCTCGGGTTAAAATCTCCCTGAGAATCCTCCAAAATCTTTGTGAAAGGGGTTTATATGCAAGAAGACATCTGTTTTTATGGGGGGATGAGGGGGGGATGACTCAACCTCTGTGAGTACCGGTTACCAGACAGGTAAATTGGGAGCGATGGGACCCTGGTTTACAGTTGCTGTTCGGATTAGAGAGAATGTATCTTGCAAACTTGGTACAGGAGGTGTTCAATCTGACAGTCGCTACAAACATGATTCCTTATATTCCAACTTTGTAGCCAAAGAGAACAACAGATCTCAAACTCCAGGAAACTGAGCGCCTAGAGGTCAGAATGTTGATATATAATTAAATCCATCCCCATAACATTTTTACTGGCAAAAAAAAGGCACAACAAACAAACAAACAAACCCCTAGCCCATATTATACAAATGTGGCTCTCTACATGTAAAAAATAATGTATTCACTTACTTGACAAAATAAGGACAGTGGGTAAATCTAGGTATTCACTGAGCTTTTTTCTTGCATCCTTTCTGTTAATGAAAAAATTTCAAAGTAAAAAACAGAAAAAATAATTCACAAGGTGTTTTTCAGAGGTCCCATTTCCATGATTCTAGCTTAATCTTTACAATGTATGTGTTATGTGGTAACCCAAATTAGACTTGAAGCAGATGGAAAGGGGGGGAAGGAACAGTGCAGCAGAAACCTCGGCCAGTTCACTGCCTGCCTCACATCCCCACAAAATGAAAATATTGAACAAGCATTTCCATTTTGCAAGTCAAACATTAAGTGTCTTAAGCAGCTCCAGTAAAACATGTTTTTAACTTATGTTTCCTCACGTTTTTCCGGGAAGAATGAAAAACATCCCTAGCTGGGGTTGCGACCATTTAAGAAACGCGCTTTGTCTGCCCTGGGCCCTCACCACCCCCTCACCCAGGTGCCTTCACTGTTAGAGAAGTGAGAGAAATTGTGTGAGCGGAGCGTGACTAGGAGGTGAGGGCTGGTAACATCTCTCTCTGTCCCACTCTGCAGAAGTATCCAGTCCCTTCTGACCTCCCAGTAAACAACGGTCAGGCAGCAAGGCTTTGCTGCCCAGGAATATGTTGAACGTTGAGTGGAAGTCAGCTTCTGAGTGCTCGTAGAGACTATCACCTACTTCATGTTTACAATAGCCCACGAGGCAGCTACTGTTATCCGTGTTTTGGCGTCGAGGAATCCAAGGCTCAGGTAGTTCTAAGAACTTGCCCCAGGTCACCTGGCTTTTAAGGGACAGAAACAGGACCTCAAATAGGTCGATCCAGCATGGAGCTGCCTTCCTTTTTAAATACGTTTTTATTGATTTTAGAGACAGAGGTAGGGGGAGAGAGAGGAACACTGATGTGAGAGAGAAATGTCGATTGGTTGCCTCCCATACCCACTCCGACTGGGCACCCAACCCGAAACCTGGGCATGGACCCTGACTGGGAATGGAACTGGAGACCTTTTGGTACATGGGACAATCCTCAGCCAGCTGAGCCACACCAGCCGGGCCCACCTGACCGCTTTTGCTGAGGTGCTGCCTGCATCTTCCAGTGGATGTGAAATGCCACCTGCATTCTGACTCAAGTCTGCTGCTCATTTCTATCCAAATCAGTACATTTATAGGAAGGATCCAAATTGATATCTTACAAACAGTAAAATTTAAAAGAAATTCAGCAGCCTGGCAGGAGGTGGTAGGAAGGAGCAGGAAATAGAACCCAGGTCTCTATCACTACTAGGGCCACTCTCATACTTCTAAGTCTCAGGGGCTCTGGCACCCTGGTGAGTTTTGTAATATTAATAAATGTTAACTGGGTTCTAGGCACTGGTTTTAGGAATTTTTCTCATGCCTTATTTCATTTAATATTACCATTTTGCAGACAGAGAAGCTTGGAACCTGTCCAAGGTCACAGGGATGATAAACTGGAGCCCAGGTTCAGACCCTGGTATGACTCCCTGCAATTCCCTGCCCTCTGTTCAAAGGGAAACGAGCTCACCTTGCAAGGTAGTTGTGAGCATTTATCTCTGTAGGTGAGCTTACTTAATACATACTGCTATTTCACATATGTATGTTATTGCCGTTATTCTTTTAAATAACAGTTTACATAGTAAATTGTAAAGTCTGATAATACCCAGAGCTGGTGAAACTGTGGGACACAGACTCATACACTGTGGGCGAACCTGTCCATTGCTGCGGCCCCTTGGGAAGTGAGTTGGCACTGTCTCTTAAAACTGCAACAGATAAAACTGACTCAGCACTTACCCTTCTAGAAATGTATCCTATGGGTTAACTGGTAGCAAAAACTAGAAACAACTGACTACATAAAAATCGTCCCTACATATATGGAAATATATATATATATGTTATTGATTTTAGAGAAAGAGGGAGGGAGAGGGAGAGAGAGAGAGAAACATCAATCTGCTGCCTCCTACATGCCCCCCTCCAGGGATCAAGCTTGAAACCTGAGCGAGTGCCCTGACTAGGAATGAACTGGTGACCTCTCGGTGCATGGGTCAGTGCTCAACCACTGCACCACCTGCCGGGCTCCGAGATGTATTCTTAAGGAGAAAATGCAAGTTCGTCAACAATGTTGCAGTACAATGAAATCAAACAGCATAAAAACATTTCTGGAAAAGTATACAAGTAATTATTAACATCAGTTGCCTCTAGAAATTAGGATGGGGCAGGAACTTTTTCCTTTTATGACCTTTAATATTGTTGAAGTACATAACATTTCTTGTTTAATCCTCACAACCACCTTATTAGGTAGTTATTTTATGCCCATTTTACAGATAAGAAAACTAGGGCTCAAAGGAGTTCAGCCACCT